AGATGGTCAAGATTTTAGGATGTGATGACTCGGGTTCCTTGGCTTCTGTGTATCTTTTCTAAGATCTTCGTGAGGGATCTGTTAACCTCAGCCTCAAATTTGTAGAACCACGGGGAATTACCATTATCTGAATACCATTAAAATATTCTTGTAATCCCTTATTTTAACAGGTTTGAATAATCGAGATAAGCTTCAGATGAGATCCTAACTGCAGCCTGCCCCAACTAGTGTGTCTCATTACAAGAGTTGGGGCCAAATGGCAGACCATATTTTTCTTTGGTTCCCCCTTTGCCTAAAGGAATTTGTTAAATGTATTTTGCGTTTTTAAACTTCCCCTAGAGGAGTGTAAGAGTTATTTATATTTTATTTTTGTGGGCATTCATAAGAAAAAAATGGAAAAAAAGAGGTAAGACTTTGTGGCTTAATGCTAGCATGGCATTTATATGGAGATGTGGTGAGAGAGAAATTGATTTTTTTTTTTTGACTTTAGATGGCTTTGCCATGTACATTTCCCTTTCTATAAGAAAATGTTTCCTAGAAGAAAAGGATTGTATTGTTTTCCAATTCAGAAGGATTAGGGGCTATGACTTGTGTCAGTGGCTTATTTGTTTGGTTTTTTAGCTGTTTATCCTTGTTGGCCATGTCTTGCTCTCCATCTATTTATCTCCCATTTTATGTAAAGTACTCTTCCCTTCCGCAGGCAGGGTGCTTCGGTTTTTTCCTCATCTGATTTTCAAGAGATGGATACAATAGTCTCTAGTTTAAATGGTTTTGAAATAAAGGAAGCTGGTCCTCTGTTACTAACATGGGCAGTCTTTTTGTGTCTAATATCGTCACTTCCTGGAAAAGAGGAACACAATGTTCTACCGGTATGTGAATCTGTTTAAAATGCTGGTTTACTATAGAGTTTATGGATATTACACATTACTTCAATTTTAACATATTATCGGTTGTTAGGAGATTGATCATGTTGGCTATGTTCGTCAAGCTTTTGATTCAGCAGCATTCAATTATTTTCTGGATATACTTCACAGTGATCTATTGAAGGAATCGGAAGTATGCTGTCCTTGCTTAGTATTTTTGTTATTCTTATCCAATTAATAAATGAGTTTGACAATTTTGTTATCACTTCATGCTTTGTGCATGATTCTGACCCATTTTACTTCATATTTTTTTCCTTGCAAGGTTGGTTAATCGATGTTTTTTTATTCTTTACCCTTTTTTTTGCAGGGACTAATTGTTGGCTATCGAAGTGTCTTGAGAACCTTTGTTTCTGCATTTATTGCATCTTATGAAATTAATCTTCAGGTACATGTTATGTTTTATACACGATGCTTTCTTAGAATAGTTGATGCTTGATGTCGTTGGAATAGAGTTAATCTTGTAATTCTTAGTTTCTTTATTTTTTTTTGAGTAAGACAGCAAGTAAGAGCGTAACCTAAAATTAAATACAAGACAATAACAAGAAGCTAAGAGGGATAAATAAAGGTGTTCCAAGAATCACAGATCAAGCCGGGAGAGTAGTTCTTAGTTTGAGCTTTTTAGTTGTTAGTTTTTACTTGGGCTTAGTTGTTAATTGGTTATGTTAGTAATTAGTTTACTTAGTAGGTGACCATCCTGTAGGCTTTTGTATTTGAACTTTTTGATAATAGTTACAACTTCTGTTGAATAAGCTTAGAGTCAAATCTGTTTGATGCTAGGTCGCATCTATATCCTTCTTTTTATCCGGCTTTATCTGACATTGCAGGTGGAGGACACCACCTTCCGTTCAATTCTGGATATTCTTTGCAATATATACCGTGGGGAGGTTTGGATGTATAATGATCATCAATTGTGATCATTCTGTACTTTCTTCTTCTTGGTCTTATAATATCATTTGCTGATAATTTCTGCTTGTATTTTGTTGCGCGTGAAAATTGCAGGAGTCACTGTGCACTCAGTTCTGGGACAAAGAGAGTTTCATTGATGGTCCTATTCGGTGTCTTCTTTGTGACCTAGAAGGTGAATTCCCTTTCAGAGTTGTGGAATTTGTTCGTTTTTTGTCATCTCTCTGTGAAGGAGCTTGGCCATCAGAATGCGTGTAAGCAGTGTCTCTAGTCCTTATTGGCCTTGATGTCGCCAGCCGAACTATTTTACTTCTGCAATCTGGAATTCTTAATCCTTGGGTGGAATATCATGTATAATTGCTACATTTTCTTTTTTTGCCCTCATGTTGAATCTGAAATTCTTAATTCCTTAGAATGGAAGAAATTCCTTTTGCTAGATCCCTACGATCAGATGATTCTTTGAGGGAGAATTAAAATGGTGCACTTGTGAAGGGAAATTTTTATTAAGGAGAGATCTTTTGCAGAAAGCTTTCTGGCAGCACGGAAAGATTTCCAGCATCACCCTTGTTTGGACGAAAGCCATCTTCAGTTTGAGAGGAATGGAACCTTTGCTGTAGAATGATGACTAACCTTTTTTTTTTTTTGATATGAAACACTTTCATTGAATAGATGAACCAAACAAAACAGCCAAAAGGACAGGGGACGAGAAGGCCCCTTCCCAAAAAACCAAACTAAAAGAGAACAGCTCTCCAATCTTGAATAATCGCTAAATTCAAAGCTTCTCAATGGTGTTATGGTTTGAGAGCAATTAGAGGACCTTTGAAGGGCTAAAAAGACATCCGTAGGAATGTTTTAACATTGCTAAATTCAAAGCTTCTCAATGGTTTGCTCTTTCCAATCACTTTCTTAATTACTCACCTAGCACGATTTATTCTAATTGGATGCTTTTAGCTCCTTTGTAATTCTAGTTCTCTTGATTCGGTTCTATGTAACTCGTATTTACTTTTTTATGTCTTTCTCACTCCTTTGGAGTTTGTATCTTTGAATTTGTGGACGTTTGCTTTGGAAGGTAAAAGAATGTGGACGAGGGTGATTGCAGAAATTTATGGGGAGGACTCTTTCGGGTGGTTCACTAAATTAAATAATGGCTGATCGGCGGGAAGGCTGTGGTTGGATATAGAAAGCACTTGGGAAACTTTTCTTAGTCTTGTGTTTTACAAGGTTTCCTCTGGAAACAGAGTTCGGTTTTGGGAAGACAATTGGGCTGATTCTGCCCCCCTAGCAAGCCTTTTCCCAGACTTTTACAGCATGTCAAACATGAAAGGAAGGTCAATTGCAGAATGTTGGAAGGCTGACTCCTTGACTTGGGATCTGGCTTTTAGAAGAAACCTCTTTGAAAGAGAATTAGAAAGGTGGGCTCTGTTTACAGAGAAACTTGATGGTGTGGTTTTATAGCAGGGTCTTGACAAACTGTGGTGGAAGATGGACTCCAATGTTGTTTTCTCAACAAACTCAGCTTGTTTTGCAATGACTTCCCCTTCACCAAAAATGTCGGCCTCTACTTCAAATCAGATATGGAATTTCAGGGTCCTTAAACAAGTGAAAGTTTTTCTTTAGTCTGTTTTCTATAGAAGTATCAACACTGCAGAGAAGCTTCAACCAACGGAAGCTTTCCACGTGGACTCTCTCTCCTTCGGTCTGCATTTTGTGCTTAAAGGACTCCAAATTGATCGATCATATTTTTCTTCACTGCCCGATTGCGTTCAGAGTGTGGTCTTATATTGCTTCACTGCTGATATATTTTCTTGTCTCCCAAACAAGATAGATGATTTTGTTACTGAAGGTTTTTGGGGATGTGCTCTAAAAGGAAAATCTTATATTCTTTGGAATTGTGCTGCTAGAGCCTTACTTTGGCTTCCTTGGAAGAAAAGAAACCGTAGACTTTTTTAAGATAAGAGGTCCTTGGTGGATTCTTTTTGTGTGAATATACAGCATATGGCTTCTTGGTGGGCTACAATCCACAAGAAGGATTTTTGTAATTATAGTCTTCAAATGATTATATGAGATTGGAAAGCCGTTATTGTATAGTTCCTAGGGGAGGGTTTTCTCAACCCTCTGCCTTTTGGTTGTTTTTGCTGTTCTTTGTGGTTGAATATCAGTTCTCTGTTTCTTATTAAAAAAAAAGGTTTATTATAGTCAATTTTAGGAGGAAATAAAATTATTTCTCTTATTCTAAGGTAAAACCCTAGGTCACCTTAAAGGTGAGACACATGAAACTAGGACAATAATCTACCAATTACAAATAATCTACCAGAAAAAGCAATTACAATAATTGTTTACTAAAATTTCATAAAACCAACAATTATCCTCAACGGTTTGAGCCCCTTTTGATGTTTGCCTTTGCTTTTTTGTTTTAGGTTGTTTTTTTTGTCAATTGCCTGCTTGTATCATCCTTTCATTTCATTTACTCCGTGAAAGTATGGTTTCTCTACATTTGCTAGTATTATCTTTATTATGTTCTAAGTTCTAACATTTTGTCACCTCACCTTAATTTTTTTAGATTTATTCTTACTCAAGTTCCATGTAGCTCTCTTCCATCTGATATATTGATTAATTTCAACAGGTTTAACTTTCTAGATAAGTCTGTGGGCATATCATCCTTGTTTGAGATTAATAACAGTGCCTTGGTGGATCACATCCCTGAGATTGTTGAAACCCAACAACCATTACTTGTTCCTGGAATGGAGGGACTGTTGATTCCCTATAAGACACGTGGACATGTTTTGAAAGTGGTTGGAGGAAATACTGTTCTTGTACGTTGGGAGGTAAACGGATGAATTAGTATTATTATTCTATTTGTACCAGCTTTTTTTTGCTTTGGTGCTTGTGGTATTCATTGCCAACAAAAATTTCACAGCTGAATAATGTATAGATGGCCTTGATGCCATGATCTATTGAGATTCAACCCATCGTTACTCTGGGTTGTTCAATTTTCTATTTCAAAATGATGATGCATCAAATGGTGTATTGTATTTGTGTTCCATTTTTGCGTTTGTGCTTCTTAGATGATTGGGATTCTTGACTTGGACTGTTCAATATAAAGTAATAGAAGTATAGGATAAGATGATTTATTTATCTTGAATCCATTTGTTCAATCATTACCTTAAAATTGTTATATTTCCGATTAAATTAGTTAAATTCTGTTATCATTTTACATGACTGTTTTTTTTGAACAAGATACTAGCTTTTTATTTATGATATGAAAATGAACGAGAAATTAACTGCTTTTTATTTATTTATATTATTTATATTCTTTTTGGGTAATACATCATTGTTTTGCAGTACAAACTATCAGGGATGCTCACATTGCTCATGCGTCTGGCCCAAGGAATTTATTTGAATAACAATGAACAAGTTGTTATTCTTGACTTGTTGAGTCGGATGGTTTCCTTTAACATGGTATTTTGTGTTCGACTCTTTTTATGTTACTTGGTTATTGTAGTCAGCCTTTTGAACTCTTTATGATTATTCATTTATGTTTTGAAGTTTCCATATTTTATTCCTGGACTCACTTCTGCAGACTGTACTTTTCATTCATGTGAAATGATGTTGATTGTGATTTGCTTAAGGTGGCCGTTTTTACATTGCTTTTTTTTTTTGTTTTCATTTAACATTTTAAGCATCCCTCTTGTCTTCTTTCTCTTTTTGAGATTTTTAAAATCAAATCTTTTCATCTTAAATTTTTTTTGAGAACCGGGAATTGGAGCTTTGCTCCCATATACCTAGGGGCACCCGTGCCTGCCTCAAGGCTGGACTCGGGAGACATCAAGGGTTTTTGGTATTATGCTCACGGATTGTCATTTGAATGATTTGGAAGCCCGTGTTCTTTCTAACTCTTAAAACCTTAGAGGTGGTCATGCTGTTTATGTAACTTGGATGGGAGGATGTGATCACTTATTATTACTTTGTTCTTTAGCGGATTCTCAACAGTACACTTGCTATGTTTGGTGCTTTGAACTAAACCTTACACCACTGATTTTTTGTTTTTTTTGGAAAAAAATTGATTTTAAATTGGCGAAATTGGTTCTTTGATCTTTCAGGATGATATGGGAATGGAAGTCCTTTCTAATTGCATGTTGTTGGTTATTATACAGTAGAATATTTAAACGTAAAGGAATGATAAGATAATGAAAGATGTGTGGAGATTCTGTTTCCAGTGTGCAAGAAGTCCATTTTGGGTTTCTTTCTGGGTTACTTTGTCAAACGAGTTAAAAAACTTTCCTTTATTTTTTACTTCTTTAGGATTGTACACTTATTTGCGAGTAGTAAGAGTTTTCTTAATTTTTACTAGACACCCTGTCTTGCCTTGATAGTACAATATATATATTTTTATTTTCAAAATTTTATAATGTAGATACATACATCATTTACACTGTAGGTCCATAGGAAATTCCATATGCTCCACTCGCTCTCTTTAAATTAAATAATGGATCTCAGTTATTGTTTTGCATTCTTTGCGTTACTTTCCCAGCTGACAGTTAAATCGTCATGTTAGGCTGTCTGTTTCGCTTTGATGGGTGCTACACACTTTTCCAATCCTCAAGTAGCTGACGTATCTCATCCAGCGGAAAAGAATATGTGGTGATTTAAAATTATTTTCATTCGGTCTAAAAGTTTCTTTAGTTGTAATATTTTTTTGGTATTCATCCATATAAATGGGTATTTTTCATCAGGGTGGTTGAGGTTATTTGCATTCTGGTCAGAAACTTATCTCCTAATTCAAGTAATGCTGCAGCAATGTCCATGGGTCTAAATATTTTGTCTAAGATAATGAAATGGTAATCTTAGAATTTCTAAAATTTCTTCTTCACTTCATAATATTGTACTTTTATTTTTCTGAATTACTACACTTTTTAATACATCTTGGTTGTAGTTTCCCTGCTACAGTCACTCCTGTGGCGCTGAAGGCAAATATTTTCAGTGTTGCTGGACGTGATGGACTGAGGTGAAGCATTCCTTCTTCTTCCTTATTTTTGTTTATTTTATTATTATTATTATTATTTTTAATGGAAAACACATATTTCATTGATAAGATGAAATATACAAGAGGAATAACCGTTTAAGAATCTGTCAAAAGGCTGAAATTCGTCGTTGAAAGTTCTGTCGCTGAATATTTTAGTTTATTTTATTTTTTTTAAAAAATTTATTATTCAGTTGCTTAGGAGCACGTATTCAACAACTTGAAACTGCCTAATTCCATATTCTTACTGGTTGAAATCCAGATAATACGATTCCAACGGCAGCTTGAATTTTTTCAAGTAAATTAAAATTGGTAAAAAATTGGAACGATGTACATTTTATTGGTTTTAATTTAGACTAAATTATACATAATGTCTCTAGCATATGTGATTGGTTTTGATTTTGCTCTCAACGTTTTAAAAGTTTTACTTTTACCCTAAATATTTTAATTTGTGTCATATAAACCCTTAGTTAGCAAACTCCATTAAAAATGTCTAACGGTAAACAAAAGATTGAGGGTAAAATTGAAACTTTCAAAATGTTAAGGAGCAAAACTAAACCAACTACTTACATTATGAAAAAGGACGTTTTGTATAGCTTATCGGGTTTCAATTTTGTCCCTAATGTCTTAAAAGTTTCGATTATGATGGAAATTGCCTCCGGAAGACCTTTTTGTAATGAATTAAAAGATTGAAGTAAAATTGAAACTTCTAAAACATCGCTATGAAACCAGCTGGATCGTTTGTGTGCATTTTGTATAATTTAGCGTTTTATATGCTTTTACCTAGCAGAGTGTGGTTTTCATTTTACTATTACCCATATTTTCTACCAAGTTATTGCTATATGTATATGTGTTTGGTTTTCTTTGGACGTCTTTACTGCTCTGTTTCTCTTTTGCAGTTGCGGTCCATCTTCTCTTTTCATTGAAGTTTTTGGCTGACTCATTTAATTGCAAGCTACCGACTAATATGATGTTTTTTCTTTTCTTTTTTTCTTTTTGATAAGAAATGGGACATGCAATAGTCACAAAAGAAGCACCAAACAACTTAGGGGCCAGGTAGAGAAAATCCCCGTCCAAAGAACTATTGAAAATGCAGCTTGTAGTTATTTTTATCTTTTAATTTTTAAAGGTTGGAAACTAAAAATTTTAATTGATGCAATGAAAAATTAGAAAGAATAAACAATCTTCCAGAAGAAAAAGGAACATTATGGAAGTCCAACCTACTACCCATAAACAAAAAACTTGCTAAGAAAACCACTTAACCCAGCCCAAAAACCAAAACAGAAGCCCATACAGACCACTAAAACCCAAAACACAAACAATAACCATATCCGAAATTGCAAAACAAACACCCCAAACCATCAAGAAACATAATCGACAAACTATGTCTTCAGCTTGAATCATTTCTACTTGAGCACAAAGTTATCTCTTTTCGTTCAAACATCAGCATTGTATGAACCACCTAAAGCCTCAAACTTCCTCATCAAAGCCAGACCATTAAAACAAAACAGTTGACCTCAAGGAAAAAATATCTTCAAATCCATCTGCATCTTCTTTGGATCATAAAATACAACGAAAAATCCAAAAACAGAAGCTAATCATTTATCAACCTTTAAAGTTGCTGACCCCTTGCAAGAACCTTAAAAAGAGCATCGCCAAGTAGTCTTTCCTTGGAAAAAATATCAAACGCTGATACATCCACCCACACCTATAAACAAACAATTCTGCTGCGTCTACAAATTTTATCCTCTCTCTCTCTCTTTTTTTACTTTAATTTCTTTTGCTTCTCTTTTCGTGGTTATGTTCACTCTTTCATATTTTTAGAGTCCTTATGGAGGGAAGATATGATGCTTGATAATTATAGCTTGCACAATGTTGTAATACTTGTGTGCATTGGCATGTCATACTTAAAGTTAGTGGCGTAAACCAAACGAGAGAGAATTGTATTAATGAAGATGAAATCTCATCCGGGAGTAAACTGCCCCTTTTATAGAAGAGCGTTACTGACATTTAACAAAAATAGCCATTAGGCATGGTTAACAGCTAATCAACTAACTTAAGCCTTTAACTAATAAACTAATAAAACCAACTGGCTGGTAGTTACATCAGTTAGTTACTTTTTTTGTCTTGATTTTTTTTTAATAAGAAATAGGGGAGCATCAATAATTTTTTCGGGCCACACTAGTTAATTTTTTTTTTCCACACTTTATGAATTTTTTTGGCCACACCTATTGTCCTATCCATAATGCGTGTATCCTTTTTATGAGGAAGATTCTTTGATTGTCTTTATTTTAAAACAAAATTGTGATTGTTGTACATGGATATCTGCTCATCTGCACTCATCTACACTGTTAGTTAACTCACTAACTTTATTCAGTTCACGAATGATGGTTTTCTTTCTTTCATTTTTTTATTATTTTTTTATTTTTTCAGTGAATCATGGCTTCAATTTGGAAAGCTCGCAAAGATGTTGCTTATTGATTTTGAGCACAATGATTCTGGCTCCCCATTGTCTATATCATGTATGTTTGGCTGTAGCTCTTAATAATTTGTGGTTTATATGGTTATTGGTTTTTTCCATTTTGGCTGAGCTGTTCACAGCCAGTTTGGGTCGGGTTGGCCAAGGCCGACTAACTGATGGAGGACTGGTTGGTCGAGCCGACCAGCCAACAAAAGGTTGGTCTGCTTTGTGGTTGGCTCGGCCAGGGTTTGGCCGAGTTGGCCAGTTTATTGGTTGGCCTTGTTATTTGGTTCTTGGGTCGGGTCCGCTTTTTCGATCTTAACCTCCAAGTTCTCGGGAGTCGGCTTGATGTCTGGTGGGTTTTAGTCTAGCTTTATTTTACCCATATTATCTACTCTTATTATAGAGAATCCTCATCCTCTTCTCCTTTGAATGTCTTCCTATTAATATATTCTTTGGTTTCTGTAAAATGAAATTATAAGATATAAATAGATTTCTATGCCTTCATTCATTTACTCAGTAAGAGCCTTAGGTAAGGAATCCCAATACAAAATTGCCCTAGAGCTTTACAAAGGTCTCCCCTGCCAATTAGGGAGGACTGGTTCTCCCTACCAAGTCTTTCCAAAACAAACAATGCATAAAAACTTTCCACAGGATCCCAGGAGCATATAAACTAAAACTAACTAACTTGAAGGTGGTGAATTCCCTTATTTACCCCTCTTTACATAAGTATTTACTAAGGGGGCCTTGGACTTTATTTTCTCAAATCTAATTGTGTATCCTCAACCTTATGTGTAACATCTTACTTCGAAACTACATTCCAACCAATCAAAATGCCTTGTTCCTCTTGTTCATCTTTCCATCTATTATTTTATCATCCATTTTTCTTTAGACAAAGATCATTAACTGTATGGTATGGTGACAATGATAACATTTTTTATGAAAAACCAAGCTTTCATTGAAAACATGAAAGAAACTACGAAGGCATACAAAAAAAAACAGCCCATCAAAAGGAGTCTACACGAACAGACGGATGCCAATCCAAAATAATAGAACCTATCTGATAATTACAAAACGATTTAGTAACCGAAGTTCATATCGAGGCATTAAATCACAACCTCCCGCACCTCTTCCCAGGACTTCTCCACCCCTCTAAAAATTCTACCATTCCTTTCAAGCCATAAACCCCACGAAATAGCAAAAAAACAAGGCTGTCATAGAACAATGATAGTATAAATAATTGTCAGAGCTCCACTTCCACTTTTTAGTGGCAACTAAAATTAGTTTTAGTAGTGGTGACCTTGTGCTGATGATGTCCTCGCTTGCTTCAATACACACTATATCTAGCATGCTCTTATTATGGTGAACTGTTGAACTTTTCAGTATTGGACTTTACCATGCAGCTCGTGGAGACTGGATTAGAAAATGATGCTATCCTAGCTCTTATTGCTTTCTGCCTTCAGTATATTTTAGTTAATCATGAGTACTGGAAGTACAAAGTCAAGCATACTCGTTGGATTGTAACTTTAAAGGTATGCCTCATTTATAATTTTGTAAAAGTCACTGTCAATACGGTTATTCCAATTCTACCTTCAGTTGATCCAATCAGTTTCATTAATTCTTCTAGAAAAATGTAAATTTTACAGATATTAAAATTAATTTTTTTTTAATTTCTGAATTCTGAGCATATTGGTTATGTTACTTATTATTATTATTATTTTTCTGTATCTTCTGTACTATTTCATTGAATGATATATTGTAAATTGATTGCTATGAGCATCTTTTGTACTTGACATGTTCACTACCGACTTTTCTTAATGTTTTATTTATTTTATTTTAATTTTGATTGTACTGTTTTAGTATTGAGGTGGCTCTTTCTATGCTTTTATCAGGAAAAGAGCTGTATCTTGTAATTTCAAGGCCGTATCTATGTTAACTTGTAGTTGGGAGGGTCTTTTTGGTTTTTCAATTATGTTTATTGTAGACAGTTTACAGGTTGTAGCTTTTCAAAATCTGAAAAGTTTATGTTTCTTGAAAAAAGAAGTGTCTTGCGATGGAATCATGTTTCGCCTGTCTTGCATTTGTCATATCCATCTAGGTAAAGGCTTGGCTTAAATATTTGTGCAATTTCTTGTCCGTGTTCTGGATCGTTATCCATCTTCTGCAGGTGCTTGAGGTGATGAGGAGATGCATTCTTTTAAGCTCAGATACTGGAAAACTGGGCCCAGTTGTCCATAATATGCTGCTTTCTGATGCTTCCATCCATTCCACTCTTTTTCGAGTTGTTTGTACAACTAGACATGCTCTAGAGGTCTGTCTAAAATGTAGTTTGTGTATATCTCTAGCATATTGATTTTTCTATTGTTGATGATGACATGGCGGTTATATTCATCAGAAACTATATGTTAGCCGTCTTTACGAACCAAGGGAGATTGAAGGACTAGAGAATGCCATCTGTTCTGTCCTGGATATTCTTTTCATCATGCTCTCTGCATTTTCAAAGGTATTTCATGATAGCATCACTTTTTTTTAATGCAATTATTTCTGCGAATCTTGGTTACATTAAACAAGCTTTGGATTAATTTTACTGGTTCCATCTTCGTTCAGTTAGTTTCTATGCATTGCTAATTGAATATATCAAGGATTTTATTATTTTTTTTCATTTTTTTTTAAAGTACTAGATAGCCAAGTGAACATCATGAAATTATTATGCTTGGATTAGAAGTTGGTTAGATTGAAGCTTTATGACTTAGATATGTTCGTTTCAGGATTCTTCAGCTGCATCTGCTGTCTTTCATCAAGCATTGACGTCACTAAAAACTAAACCCATTCCTATAGCAGCAGCTGTCATTTCCCTGTTATCTTACTTTCGGAATGTGGTATGGATATATTTACAATTACATTATTGCAGATATCTACTTTTTGAAGTGGCATATTTGAAAAATGATCTTACGATAAATAATTGTTGTTCCTGTAATTCTCAACATTTCTAGAAATGAGTGGAGAATTTCTCTGTAGTTTTTCTCTCCCTTCTCTCTCCGTTGTCTTTTTTGCTAAGGGATTATTCAATCATCTTCTGTTATAGTTTGAGACAGTGTGGGTAAAATGGGAGGCTGGTAATATAAGGAGTGTGTTGTGTCCGTCGGATGTAAGGGCAATAGAGCACTGAATATAAAAGTATAAAACATTTTGTATAGGTAAAAAAATATAGTATTGTGAATGATATGATAATAAAAATTTAAAAGGATCAAAGCATTTGTGAGATAATGTTCGGAGAAACGAGAGCTTTTGGTGGATATTTTTAATTTATTTTAGAAACAACTTTTCATTGATATATGAAAAGGAAAAACGTTCAAGATACATACCCCCAGGGGTGAAAAAAGAAAAGAAAAGAGAGAAGAAAAGAAAAATAACGAATAAATATTGCAACAAGAGCAATACAAGCTCAAAAGAGATAAAAACATTCTAAAACAGAAGTCAGAAAAACTGCATGTTGCCGAGCTTGGGAAATCAAACTAGATCCAGGGTCAACAATCGCATGAGGGAAAAACCTTCCTTAGCACCAAGAACGAAGACCAAACTCCAAAAAGAACCAAGTAGAAGTTAAGACACAAGAACAGACCGCAGTCGAAATGATAATAAGGAGAAAACACCAAATGTAATGCCTTAATGCGGTCTTCAAAAAGCCTCCATATATAAACCACTAAATGTCAAACCACACGCTGGAGAAAGACTTTGAAATCCTCATCAAACAACCAACCGAACTAACTTTGCAAAGCTTTAAAATCTGCAGAAGGCATAATTGAGAACATTCCAACATTCCGAACAACTTAAAACTCAGAGAACAGATTCAATTGGGACAAGGGTAATCCCCATTTCTCGAAAAAAAGGAAGGAATGTTTGTTTGCTGTGGGAGAACGAGTTTCTCATCTTCTTTTTGCTCGTTAAATAAGGATTGAAAATCGTCCGCATAGGAATGCTCAGAAAAGTCCTCAATTGGAATGTCTGATTTTGGAGAAGAGACTAAACTACTGATACTGGTTGTGCCATCCTCATCTTCAAAATCATTATACAAGAATTCTATGGAAGATGATCTAAGAGGCAAACCTTCGTTAATGGAGTGGATAGTGCCAATGGACAGAAAATTATAGAAAAGTGATTAAAAAAATAGTAAAATGTTAAAAAAAATATGTGAGGCACACGCTTCACTTCTTTGAAGCAATTTGCCTTTCTAGTACCCAATAAATTACATATATTGGGTAATTTTTCTGTAATTCAATGATCGTGGATTTTTGTATAGTAAAGGAATGTGTTGGTATGCGGTAGTTTCCTCTGTTCAATTTCAATTCATATAAAGTTCTTTTGAATTTTAGCACTAGGAGCTTCCAGCTTCCGGAATTGATCTGATTTCACTTCTTTAAAACCATTAGTCCCCATATTTGCAGCTTTTGCTTTCATTAATGGAAATATATGACTGACAACAATTATTATTATTTCTGTTTCTATTATTTTTATCATAATTTTCACACGTACCAAAGATTTCTGGGTTGTGATATCTCTGCAGAGAGTACAAATTGGTGCTGCAAGGGTACTATCTATGTTATTGTTAATCACAGAAGATTTGCAACCACATTTGTCTAGTGCATGCTTTAATCTTGATGATGAGCAAGTATAAATACTCTTCCTTGATCTAATTCTACGTTGATGATTTCTGTTAATTGGACTAATTATTTCCGACTTAGATGTTTCTTTATTCATTGGCTTTAGATAGCAGATTTGAGGCAGTCAATTGAGTGCATATTTCTTAAGAAATCTGTGTGGGACGAAGATCTCTTTGTTGCTGTAGTTAACATGTTGACTTCAGCGGCACTTTATCAGGTTGGTTATCAAATCTACTTATTTATGGTTATAAACATTTAGGAGGATAATATTTGCATCCTTGTGTATGCTGGGATCAATAAAACACCTTATTATTATAGTCATGGCCTATATTAAACTTCTGTAGGACAGTGCTTGAGTGGCTCACCACCACAACTACAAAGCTATGTTTGGTCTTGTATGTATAAGGTGGGCATTATTTGCCTACGGGTCTTTGGGAACCTGTAGCTCATTGTGCATTGACTTGTGTGTCTAGTCCTCCTTTTAAGCTCATAGCATTGTGCATAATTTCCTATACTGGTATAACTTAACGTGGGCAGACTTCCATATCTTTGGCTGTGCAGTGAAATGATACCTTGGTGGCCGATCTTTGGTTTTGTACAATTAGGGAATCAAGATCATCATGTAGTGTTTTGTTTCTAAAAGCAAAGATCATCATGTAATGTTTTGTTGTTCTTTTTTTCTTTTATTATTATTATTATTATTTTGAGAAACAAAGGGAATATATTCAAGAACCAAGACCCCCGGGGAAAAACAAAACCTAAAGGTGGAGGGTAGAGATAACTCTCCCCAAAGAACTATACAATCATGGCATTCCAATCTTGTATGATCAAGAGAAGGCCATAATTACAAAAAACCCTTCGTGTGGATAGAAGCTCACCAAGAAGCCGTATGCTATATATTCACACAAAAAGAATCCACCGAGGCTAATTTCTCTTCAGAAGGTCTGCTATTCCTTTCTTTCCATAGGAGCCAAAATAATACCCTCACTGCACAGTTCCAAAGGACAAAAGCTTTACCTTTTTAAACGGAGAGATCCAAAAGAGACCACAAAACTCCAAGCTTGGGTAGCAACTGAACAATGCAAAAATAAATGATCCACTGTTTCAAAATTCTTCCAACACATACCAAAAACAGAAGAAGAGAGAGCCCAGTGGGGAAGCTTTCTCTGCACTTTATCGGCCTTGTTAGTGCCCCATAAAAAAGGGTCCAAAGGAACACCTTTACCCTTTTTGGGACCCTAAAGTTCCATATGAGAGATGCGGTGGCAGAATTTCTGTCTAGGAGAGAGGGATGTAAGGGGAAAAAAGGCTGAACTTGCAGAAAAGATACCCTTGCTGTCTGTCTTCCACCAAAAGCTATCTCTACCTTGCCCTAGAACCACCCCTTCCAGCTTCATCATGTAGTCTTCATTATCCCACCTTGCGAAGGTCTACTGCTGGTGCTGCTCTGCTTCCTCTTCTCCGTCCCTGGTGTCCCCTTGGTTTACGTCTCTTTGGAAGATTAAAATTCCAAAGAAGATTAAGTTTTTTGGATGGCAAGTCTTACTTGGTAAAGTCAATACCTTGGATCGGATTCAAAGGATGTCTTCCTTTTGCCTGGGCCCGCAGTGGTGTGTTTTGTGTAGGAAGGCCGCGGAAGATCTTGACCATTTGTTGTAGTCCTGTCAGTTTGCGCAGGAGTTATGGTGTCGATTTTTTAGAGATTTTGGTATTGCTTGGGTTCGTTCCTTAGTTTGCAGGACGATGATGGAGGAAGTGTTATTATTCCCCCCCTCTCGTGATAGAGGCCGCTTTCTCTGGCAAGCGTGCTTTCTGGCTTCTTTATGGGGTATCTGGCTGGAGAGGAACAATAAGGTGTTTACGGGTGTGGAGAAATCTGTGGATTATGTTTGGGACCTCATTAGGTTTAATACTTCCTTATGGGGTTCGGCCACTAAGGCCTTTTGTAATTATCCGTTAGGTCTTATTCTTTTTGATTGGAGCCCGTTCTTATAAGGGTTTCCTTTGTCGGGCTGTTTTTTGTATGCCTTTTTTGTGTATCTTCTTTTTTCATTTCTCTCAATGGAAGTGCAGTTTCTCATAAAAAAAAAAAAATGCATTCAGTGCATTTAGTTGGATTCATTCAGTTTGTGGGTTCTGGTATAGAGTTAGTGACTCTTTTGTGGGTATAAGGTTACTAATATTGGATATGGTGGATGGCAAAAACATTTTGTAGGTGTGTTATGCTGCTGGAAATTAGTTACTGGCTTTTAGGGTTAGCTTAGGGCTGATGGCAGGATGTTTTTGCCACTTTTATAGGTTGAGGAAAGATATTTATGTTATGTTTCTAACTATTTACATCCTTGTATTGCTGATTCCAAAAATCAGAACTTACTATTCACATACAATGAAGGTAATCGAGGAACCAAATAATGAAAGTAAATTAACAATAAACAAAGATAAAATTAAGCCTGGTTCCTTGCACAGGTATAAGCCTGATTTAATTTGCACTGGCCTTGTAAATTTGACGTGTAAGTTGGACCTATTTTCCTTTTCTTTGTTTTTTTTTTCTTTTTTTCTTTTGATATCCGTGAATGTTCGGGTTAGTTTGCGTGCATCTTGACTAATTTCACGGTACAGCCGCCTGACTGATACCGGGAAACACATAGAAATTAATCCCTATGGTAGGTGGCAATCATGGGGTTTGAAGTCATTCCCTCTCAATTTAACCTAGTCCCTTTAGACCAATGAGCCACATATATTTTCTTTCTTTGGGGGTATTTATTGGTTCTAGAATAACTTGGCAAGCTATTTTCTTGTCATGAAATTAGGTAATTTTCATTTCATATATGTCCTAAACAACTCTGCTGTTTTTATGCGATGTCATTTATGTTTCATTGAGATGTGTAGAGTAAACAGCAGTGATGTATCATTTAGGTGGAATATG